GAAAGAGGGTAGATTTAGATTGGACATAAGGAAGAAATGTTTTACGATGAGGGTGGTGAGGCACTGGAACAGGTTGCCCAGAGAAGCTGTGGATGCCCCATCCCTGGAAGTGTTCAAGGCCAGGTTGGGCGGGGCATTGAGCAACCGGGTCTAGTGAAAGATGGCCCTGTCCATGGCAGGGGGGTAGGACTAGATGATCCTTAGAGGTCCCTTCCAACCCAAACCATTCTGTGATTCTATGATTCTAAGTAATGTTTCTCTGGCTAAAATGCATTACTTCATCCCTTATGTTCTCAGCTGCAGGCTTTGCAAAATTATCACATAATCCTCCATAGCATTCTCTCTAATTCCTCCCCTACCTTTAAGAGCCACTTTGTCAGCATTTGCTTTTACTTTCTTAAAACAGGTCTCCTCAACACTCTTCAGTGCTCGTACTTCTTCCTTCACAGCCTCTTTCTAAGCAGGACTACCCTCCCATGCTGACTGAAATGACGCAATTCCATTTTCTACCTACTTGCTTCCATGAAGTTGAGTCATTGTTCCTGAATCTTCAGCAGTTCCTGCTTGACCTACCCAAACCGAATTGCTCATTTGTTCCTCAAAAGTTCTCTACAGCCCTATGCTTGACGCCTCTCCTCCTTCCAGCTGAAGTAACTTCTGCTTCTTGTAACTTCCCTTCTGCTGAAGTAACTTCCCTAGTCCTTGCCCTATAAATCCAGACTGTACGCATGTCATACTTCTTCCCATCTCCATTATACTTCTGTCTGGGAGCTGTGTGCAGAGCAGTGTAGAAGGGGTTTGTCTCAGGTAAAGGGGTGGAGAAGCTGAATTCTTATGATTCTATTTTTTGACGCTGAATAAACAAACGATGGCAAAATCATAAGCAGATAATGTTGGTTGTGAGCATCTACTTGAGTCCCCTTCTGGTGACGTCTTTATACACTGTTCTGTTCTGAGTACCTGTTCAGCTGACTCAAGCCTTTTTCAGAGTCACGTCTCTGAGGATTGTTTTCCTCTCTTGTACAAGTTCCTATGTGCATAACATTACTTAGCTAATTTAAATCACGTGCTCTTAAGGTAAGTTCATGTTACCAAATAGTTCATATTACTATATGTTGAAACTGAGGTTCCACCATATTTTTTATCTGCGAATTTTACTAGGTATAATTTGGTGAGTGTGTATGTTTTTCTTATTTATCACTGATCTATTGACTGTCACTGAATCAAAAGTGCCTCCCCAAGAGCCCTACTAGAAGAACTTACACTGAATTCTTAATTCATTTACTTTTCAGTGTCTTCTGCAATCCAGTTTTGGGGTATCAAATATACTTTCTTTGGAATATAGTAGAGAGCTAGTGTTATACTGGTAGACTTCTATGTCAGCTTAATTTGTAGTCTCACAAAACCCAGCAAATTCTGTTACATTAGCACAAAAATCTAAGGGGTTTTTTTTATTAATTATGTCAGCACAATTAATTCGGTATTGATTGCATCTGTGCAAGCTTTGCCATGATTCTTCCTGGTACTGGTCAGGCTAAACAACCACTTTCATGTAAATCTGTTTATTCTTACAAAGTACACTGACACAGCTTAGCTTTTTTTGCCAGTTTTAAAATGAAGACACTACAGTCTTCTGCTTTAGTGCTTTAGAAGTCAGGGGTGAAGGGATCTGTCTGTTGTATAAATCCAAGCCAAGCTTGGGGACCCTGAGCTCTTACTAGAGCATCTCTTAGGACTCTCGGTTGCCTATCAATAAATTAGAAATGTATCTCAAAGGGTAGTGTCTGTGGATACCTCATCTACAGATTCAGAAAGTCACAAGTTCTTGCCTATAAGATACAGTATTCTTTTGTTTCCCTTTCAGCAAACTCGGTAAGCTGGAGCACTTGGAAGAGCTGAATCTGAGTGGCAACAAACTGAAAACGATTCCCACAACAGTGGCAAACTGCAAGCTACTTCATACACTTATTGCACACTCTAATGAAATCAGCATCTTTCCAGAGATCCTGCATTTGCCCCGTATTCAGGTATTCTTATGGAGAAGGTAAAGAGGTATCAGGGGAAAGTTTGGGTTGGAGATTGAAGAGTAACTGCTAGGAGAGGAACTGGAGATCCCAGCATTTTGCTTGATCAACCCAAGAAGAGGGCACAGAATATGCATTCTAGATCTGTCACCTTTCAGAGTTGATCAAAGATGGCTCATCTCTCATTCCTCTTTACCATCTGTCTCTGACTTGGTGTATTTCTGGTTTACCATTTGAGACAGTAGGGAGTGTTATATGGCTAGGTAGGTTTGTATATATAGGCCTTCTATTACCTTTAGCGTGACCTATTCCTTTAGTATTGGAGTCCTGGCTATTGCAGGTTTTAAGTATTTGCTGCTTATAAATTGTTCTTCTACTGATAGGTCAGACCCATTTTCATTACCTGTTTTTGGGATACAATCAGTAGTGGGGTCATATGATGTTTGGAAGGAGCACTGGAGGAACTGATCACATGAGAGAACAGCGAATATTTTCTTTGTCATTGTGCTTTTTTTGATACTGTAGTTTGTGGACTTGAGCTGCAATGAGTTAACTGAAATCCTAATCCCTGAGGCACTGCCAGGTGCCTTGCAGGAGTTGGACCTGAGCGGAAACACAAACCTGGTGCTAGAGCACAAGACACTGGACATCTTCAGGTGAGCCATGGAGATGCCAACCCAGTAGTGACCTGCACAGGGAAGGGTAACACTTCCCAGGAGGGGAAATGGGATAGTAAAATGTGTATCACAGCATTGCATAATGTTATAATGTTCTCTGCCTGAGGCAGCTGAAGCTTTCTGTCTTGTAGGAGGGGAAAAGTCTGGGTCCAAATCATCAGAACAAGCAGACAATTTTTCGGGTGGTATGACATTCTCCCAGCTGTCTCTGGCATAAGCAGCCGGACATCTCCAGAAGGCCAAGACCTTAAACTCCTCTCCTTAGTGCAGCTCTTTCCACAGGCTACTGTCTAAAACTCTAGACTGAACGAGGTCCTTTGGCCACAAGCTGTTCAGCAGGGTCTAGGAGAGAATGACTTCTGTTCTTCTCTCTCTGTAGTCACATTACCACGCTGAAGATTGATGCTAAGCCCTCCCTTACGGCAGACTCAGCACTCACTTCTACCTTCTGGAGTCACGGAGTAGCTGAGATGGCAGGCCAAAGAAATAAGTGAGTATTGTGGTCTGCTGGACGCTGACACTTTGTCTTCTCAGGGTGCTAGGTGAAGTGCGCTGCTAAGCACCCAAGCAGACTTGTCTTGCTCAAGAGCTCATCCGTCCCTCTGTCTCTCCAGATCTCTTGCTAAGTCTTGGTAACTCAAGCCTCTGCATTGTCCCTTCCCTCAGTTTTCACACTTATCCTAGGACACTTGGACTTTGCTTCCCACCCTAGCAGAGATGCTTTTTCTTTCTCTTGCCGGCTGTGCCCATTGCCCTCTCTTGAGTGTGGTCAAGGAGGGTTCGGGAGTTCCAATAATAAACTGCAGCTGTACATCTCATGGGGCAGCAAATGTAGGGACAGTGGCTTTGCTGCCCTGTGAGAACAGCACTCACGGCAAGGTGCCTGAAGGCTGTGGTTTTGGGGACCATATAATCTTTTGAGACATACTAACTTTGCTTGTATGCTTTTCTAACAGGCTGTGTGTGTCATCCCTGGCACTGGGGAGCTTTGCAGAGGGGATGGAGGCTGTGTATGGCATGTTTGATGGTGACAAGAACGAGGAGCTGCCACGCTTGCTGCAGTGCACCATGGCCGATGTGCTCCTGGAGGAGGTACAGCAGTCAGACACCATGTTCATGTCCAACACCTTCTTGGTCTCCCACAGGTAGGACAGTGAGCAAGCTGGTCCTGGTGGGACCTGCATAGGTATATCACTTAATGTGTTAGGTGGGGTGAGGCAGCCCTCCAGAATGCCTGTCACCGGAGTCTGGAGCCTTCCTACACCTTCTCCTCCAACAGGAAGCTGGGCATGGCTGGGCAGAAGCTGGGTTCCTCTGCTGTCCTTTGCTATATTCGTCATGATGTGGCTGATCCAGCCAGCAACTTTTCTCTGATGGTGGCCAATGTGGGGACGTGCCAAGCCATTCTGTGCCGAAGTGGAAAACCACTGCCTCTCTGCAAAGTCTTTAGCCTTGAACAATGTTCAGAAGAAGCCAAGAGAGTCAAGGAGCAAAAAGCCATTATAACAGAGGTTGGTTTGGACCCTCTTCACTTCAGCTTCCACCCTCCCGTAAAAGCTAGGTACAAATACATGAGCTCTGCTGCCTGCACAATAGTACAGGGGAGAGGATGGCATGAAGGTGTTCAAGTGACTTATCTGTTGCTTCCTGCTCTGCTTCTCTTGCTGATTAGCTATTCAGAATGACATGTTCTTAAAACCATTATGGCCTGAGAACTACGGGTACAGGATACCATGGATAGCTTGGGGAGAGAGGAAGGAAAGAAAATAGGTGTGGAGCTAAAGGAGGGGAGGTCCATAATACTGTGCGTGACTTGAGTGAGTGTGGAGAGGAGCCACTGAAGAACAGAGCAGGGCCTGGGAAGTCATCTTGTCTCAAAACCCACAAAATATTTCTGGTGTTTCTTGAAAAGTATGACTCAAGTTACTTCTCTTTGGATTTCTTCCATGTTTTACTCAGTGAAGGTACAGGATTAGTGGCTCTTGAGACACGCAGAACATGGATATAAAGTATATTACGGGTAAAAATTTTAACACAAAAGACAGAAGTGTTCATTGGTTTTATGCGAAAGTGCTAAAATGATTTCTGGAGAACTCTCTAAAGGTTAACTTTCTAAAAACTTGGAAATAACAGGGAAGTTCCAAAGAACTGGAAAATATGTCGTCAGTGAAGATCTGAGAAATCAGTGCCAGTCATATTAGTTTTATGCTCAGTGGGTCTTTTATAAAGTATCAGGATGTTTGATAAAAGTGTTTGACAGGGATAATCTGTTAATATGTTATAGCTCTGCAAGGTGCTATATTCCATAGCACTCTGACTAAAAATAACTGTGGAATCAATGTAGCACAATAAATGGTTTAAAAACTGGCTGATGAATGGATTCTGAAAAATAAAAGTGAAATCATTGTCTAAGGAGACTTCCCTGCATGTGTCCTCTGCTGGTTTTTAATACTTAGCAGCAGCAGCAGCAATGTTTAACACCCAGAGGATACAGAAATTAAGAATACTGAAATTAAATTCAAAACACTGGGGAAGCTGTGTACTCTGTATGCACTGACTTGTGAAAGGGACTGAGGGCTGTGGGCAATTTTCTATCCAGGAGACTAGTGCCAGGCTGGCCAGGGGACTATCTGGTGGTTGAACCATGACACAGGAACAGGAAGGAGGTAATACCTCCAGGTTACAGCAGTAGTGCGAGATACCTACTTGTTCTTTTCTTCCTCAGCATGTAGTGTCCACACTTCAGAATGCAGTTATACATTAATAAAGAGGGAAATAGTTCAGAAAATACACAAATTATTTAATGTCTGGATAATCTGCCTTGCAATGTGAAAGTAAAAAGTCACTATCTCTCTCATACTGAAAAAATAAGTTTCATGTAAGACTCATGAGTGAGATTCTCTGATCAATGTGCTGCAGGTAGTCTAGCTGCGCATTTCAGAATAGTTTGCCACAATTCTTCAAAATGTGACAAGAAGCTTTGTGGGATAAAAGTGTGTTATTGCCAGCATGGGTGATGGGTGATTACTGTACCTGATGATCAGGTACAGTGAATGGCTGTGCTGTGGTACCTGGACCTAGATCCCTTTCTCCTATACGGTAGCTGTGCACTGGCGTTTCTCAAGGTTCCAAACCAGTATATGGGCAGGGGAAAGACTGCTCTCTAAATGATCTAATAGCAGATCTAATGCTACTGCCTTGTTTCTCTTGTCTGCAGGACAATAAGGTCAATGGTGTGACTTGCTGTACTCGGATGCTGGGCTGCACATACTTGCATCCTTGGATCCTGCCCAAACCACATGTCAGTTCCATTCCACTGACTGTACAAGATGAGCTGCTACTTCTAGGCAACAAAGCTCTCTGGGAACATCTTTCTTATACAGAGGCTGTCTCAGCCGTGCGCCACCTACATGACCCACTAGCTGCTGCAAAGAAACTCTGCACTTTAGCCCAAAGCTATGGTTGCCAAGACAACGTAGGTGCAATGGTGGTATGTCTCAACATCAGCGAGGACAGCTGCACATGTGAGATGCATGGCCTCACTCTGCCAGGTCCTGGGGGATTTAGTTCCACCACCACCAAGCCAGCAACACCTTCATCTAGCAGTGGAATTGCTTCAGAGTTCAGCAGTGAACTGTCTGCTTCTGAGGTTAGCAGTGAGGTGGGCTCTACTGCTTCAGATGAACACAATGCTGTTGGTCTCGATGGCAGTTTGCTACCACGACAAGAGCGACGTTGCAGCTTACATCCTGTGCCCCCCTCAAGCATCTTTCAGCGCCAACCTTCCAGTGCCACCTTCTCTAGCAACCAGTCTGACAATGGTCTGGATAGCGATGATGAGCAGCCTGTGGAAGGTGTGATAACAAATGGCAGTAAAGTGGAGGTAGAGGTGGACATCCACTGCTGTAAAGGAAAGGGCCTGGAGTTTGAACTTCCTGCTGCAGAGTACAGCTCCTCTGCTCCAGGGCCAGAGGATGACTCTGGGCTTGTCCTCATCATTCGGAGACAGAACAGTGTAAACAGCAACACTGTGCAGAGAGGGGTCAAGGAAAAGTGTGAACTGCAAAAATCTCTTTCCACATGCTGTCTCTATGGAAAGAAGCTTTCCAATGGCTCCATAGTGCCCTTGGAGGAGAGCCTCAACCTCATCGAAGTAGCCACAGAGGCACCCAAGAAGAAGACAGGCTATTTTGCTGCTCCATCCCAGATGGAGCCAGAGGATCAATTTGTGGTGCCGCCTGATCTGGAGGAGGAAGTGAAGGAACAACTGAAGCAGCACCAGGAGAATGGAGCAGATCAGGACAAGAAAGAGGAACATGTAGCAGCTCTGCCAGAGGAGTTTGACACAGCTTTGTAACTCTACAAGTACTGCTCCCACATTGTCTGTCCCAGGAAGCTCTGTCCCATAAGGGCTGTCTTGCCCTCCAAGGGGAGCTGGGATCTGCAAGGAGTACAGGCATCTGCTGCTTCGTTAATGGAGTCGAGGAAGAATTGGGAGTGCTAAGGTCTGGGCTGTCCACTTTCCACTGTAGAGTTTCAGTTGTTCTATGAGCACTCAGACCAGCAGCTGAGCTCTTTGGTAGGGACTGTCTGGAAATTGTGCAAGCACTAGGAAGAAGGCAGGTGTTCCAACACCTGCCTGTAACTCCTTGAACCCTGAGGTTCTGCCAGCTCTGCAGGAAAGGGGCTGGCATATGTGCGCGTGGGGAGAGGAGGCTGCTGAGGGGGCAATGTTCAGTGTTTGGAGTCCTGTGAATATTTCTGATGCAGCCGCCCCCCAGCACCTGACTTTGTTACTCCTTGAAAGAATACAGCCAGTTGCAATGAAGCTGACCCAAGAATGGTTTCCTACATTAATTGCAAGCACTTTTATTGATTGCACTTAAGCTGTTCTGCTCCCCTTCAGCCCAGCACTTTATTATTTAGGGTTAGGGGATAGAGCACTCCACAGCAGGTGTGGTGGGGGCTTTTCCCAATGGATGTTGTTAGGGCAGTGGAAGTCTCAGGGTACCAGTGTTCTGATGAGCACTGGTGCAGGGTAGAGTGAGGGTTATGATTGGATCAGCCTATGCAGGATGAGAAAATACACAGCTGAGTGATAAGCAGGTGCCTACTGATGCATTTTAGATGGAGCATAGGAAAGATCAGCTCTGGACTTGTTGATTAAGGTAATGTGTAGAGCTAGTGCTTCTAGCTGCAGAGCACAGACCCAGCTCAGCAGCAACTTGGCCACCTCCATCATGGATGCTTTACAGTAGAGGCTTCCTGTGTCCAGGAGACATGAGATGAAACCCGGAGCTCACGCTTGTCTCAGTGAGGTACTCCATCTAAGAGGAAACCAAGTTGTAAGCAGTGGTATGCCGCTCTAAGGCTAGTGAGCAGTGGGGCTGCCCTTTGTATGCTGGGGAAGCGTTCAGTGCTCTGTTCCACCACCATAATAAACCTCTGCACTGTCAGCTACAGCATCTTTGCTTGCCTCTGAAAACAGGAGTCATATTCCAAATCCATAGCAACCTGCATTTCATGGTACATGCCCAATTTGGCCACAAACAAGGTGAAAGCATACTTGTTTCTGTTTAGCTTTCAATGCAAAAGGAAAAATAGAACTTTTCACCTTAGTAACATCTTTATCAGCACTGGAAAAGATGTTTAAAACACTCCCACTAGTTGTGAACTGGCCAGTCTGCACTCGGCAGATGCATTGTGTTTCCATTAGGATTTTTGGTGCAGGGTCTAAGTTGGCTGCCTATGTCGTCATCTTGTGTAAGGGTTGTGAAAAGACCACTGCCCCTGTAGCGTGCAGATCTGTCTTCCTTAGCTGACAGAGAGCTGGACAGCAGCTGCCCCGCTCAAGTCAGTGGTGCAATAATCCTGACTGTAATGTGGGCTAGTGCCTTTTCTTCTTTATTAATTATATTTATGAAGAAAACTTGAAAGTTTCTTCTCAAGAGCTCTGAGGGGCTTGAGCTGTATATTTTTGGATCAAATTCAGGCCTTGCTCAGAAGAAAATACTGTGCAGACTACTTGTGGGATTCTGTCAATATAGATCTTTTGATAAAATCTAGTGGAGTTTTACTGACATTTCAAAGCACCTTGAATTTCTTCTCACTAGGAAAAAAATCATAGAATCATAGAATAGTTTGGGTTGGAAGGGACCTCTAAAGGTCATCTAGTCCA